GTTTTTTTAGGGCGGGGGAGCGGTTTTCCTAGCCCCGGGGTCCCTCCCCCTATCCCCCCAGTTAATTATTTCTCCGCTGTTGTTGCGACGCCCCTGGGTGTTCCGTGGGTGTGTAGCAATTCCCCAGGTTGGTTCTCGGCGGGTCAGGGAGTTCAAAGTTTGGCAGATAAAAAAAATTAAAAAAAAATAAATCATTGAAGGCGTCTGTTGAAGGCGTCTGTTGCAGTGTTGCCCTTCCCTCGTTGCTTTTCCCCGGCCCTGTGAAGCCGGCTGTCGGGCTACGGGATAATTTCTGCGCCTTGGCTAAACGATGCTGCGAAGCCTCGAAAGGCAGAGGTGTGTGGTGTTGCTGTCCTGGCCAGGTGTCAGGTACAGAGCCACGTGCCCCAAGCGATAAGGTCCCAGCAGACTGGTCCAGGCGGTTCCCGCTGAGTCCCTAAATGTGGGAAATTCACCCCAACCAAGCACACCCTCCCTGGGCTGGAAGGAGCCGTCAGGGCTCATTCCAAGGACCCCCCCCGATTTTAAAAAGTGCTTTTTCAGTGATGCTGGGCTGTGCTGATGTGTGTGGTGCTTAGGCAGGGTTTCTTTCTGGCACTCTTTTTTTTTTTGAGTTTAAACATTTGTTTTGTTGGTGTTTGCAAAGTGAGAGCGTAAAGCTCCAGACGTGTCGGGTGGAAGAAGAGGTTTAGGTCCACCAGGTTTGACAGTAGGTATCTGATTAAAGCTATGGCTTGAGGATGAGAAAAAAACTAATTAAAAAATTGAAATATGAAGCGTTTGAGTATAGTTCAAACTTTTGGGCATCCTAGATGTCTTTTGTCTTTCTTAGCAGGCAAACCAACCAAGGAAATCCCTTGGGTTTATACTTCTGGAGTTTCCCGTGTTACTTCATATAAGCTATTTCACAGGTGCAATTTTCAGGATTTGTGGGGTTGTTTTGCAATCCCTTTTCTTTTTTTTTCACAGCCTGTCCTTTATTTAGGACTGTGCATGTTGCCTGCTCCGTGTTTTCCACTGGCAGCAAGGGCCCTTGCTAGCAAGATGTAAAAATTAATCCGGTAGCTGCAAAAAAAAAGGGCCCTTCTGAAGCGTTTTCTCTGAGCATCCCTGGAGGACAAAGCCTCTTTCAAGCAGCCCGAGGATTTTATTTACTCTTTGTAGTCGCTTCCTCCAGATTTTCCACGCTCTGCTCTTGTTTATAAGGAAGGACTTCCATTTGCTTGGGGAGGGGGGCTGCGGGGAGGATTGGGGGCTGGCAGTGGAGCCAAACACGAGCCGTGTTGCACAAGGCTACGGCACTGGGAGATTCGCTCTCAAATTTTTCTTTTGTTCCAGCTCAGTGAAGCGGAGCTCATTAGGCGCAAATGTGGGTAGGCTGGTTCTGTTTTCAGCTGCGTTTGTCTTCATGACTTTTTTTTTTTTTTTTAATTAAATTGGCTTAAAAGGGAGTAAAGATTGGCTTGCTTATATTTTGGAGAATTAGTATTCTTTTCCTGCTTTTCGAGGGCACTGGCTCAGTACGGGATGGGGAAGGCCAGTGGGTTTCCTCCCTCCCGTCGCTGTTCCTCCGGTACATTTGTCAGTGATGAACACCTGGATTCAAGTCCCCAGGGTTGCTTGAAATCACCAGGAACTAAATATCAGCCTTAGCCAAAAGCAGAAAGGAAATGAAAGCTTGGCGGGGAGTGCCGGAGGGGATGTTTGCTACAGACTCTGTTGCTGCTGGGTCTTCCCATGTCAAAAAAAAGAAAAAAGTTTAAATCTAGTCATCACCGTAGTTTTTCAGGACGCTTTTTGCTGGTGAATGAGGCTGTAATGGAATTCTTCCACATCTAGCCATTTAAACAGAAGGTGCACTTTATTATTGAGCAGGCACTTGATTTAAGAATCAGTGTTATAATTCCAGAGTTAAAACCACCACTTATAAACAAAATGCATTTCCTTTCTTCTCGGGAGAGCAACTTCTGCGTGTGCAAAAGCCCCAGAGAAAGTCCCTGGTGTTTTGGTTTGGGTTTTTTTTGCTGGTGGACACTCGTTTCATGTGAGCCCAAGGCCAGTTAATTTTTCCTGCGGGCACAAACGCTGTTGCGGAGGACGTGGGATGCGAAGGGCGTCGGCGGGCTGCCTGCGGAAAAGTTGCGATTCCAGCCTGGGTCTCAGGAAGGAAGAGCACAATTCAGGCAGGATGGTTGCGAAGTTAGCACATCTGCTTGGTGTAAATGATTGCATTTTGGGAAATGACAAGGCAGGAGTGAACCTTCTTGTATGCTTCTAGTGCTAGAAGTGGTCTGGGAAGGCGCACGAGTGGAACGTGAATGGAAGGGGATGAAGATACATGTGTGTATAAATATCTCTATATTTTTCTGTATATCTTAAGCTCTTAAAGTGTTGTGTTTCTACTCATGGGCACCTTTGAATCTTTAAAATAAAACAAAAATCTTGAACATTTCGATGAGAAAAATAAAGAAAATAAACTTTTAATTGAAATGGCTTCTTTTTCTTAAAAAGATACCATTTTGCCTTTTTTTTCTTAAAAAGATACCATTTTGCCTTTTTTTTCTTAAAAAGATACCATTTTGCCTTTTTTTCTTAAAAAGATACCATTTTGGCTTCTTTTTCTTAAAAATATATCATTTTGGCTTCTTCTTCTTAAAGAGAAACCACTTCAATTAAAAGTTCTAGTCTTGAAAACACACACTTCTGAAATTGTGGGTTTTAATACCCGTGGTTTGTGTCTGATGTTTGGGTTTAATTTTTCTAAACAAGGAGCCTACCAGGCAAATGTTGAGCTTGTTAATGGTGCTTTGGTGTTTATAGGATCATCTATCTGTGCGCTATATTATCTGCTGCTTTCTGAGCGGGGTGAACACAGCCTGGACACAAAAGTATCAGGTTTATCATTTATTTGATTTTGTGGTTTTCTTTGTTTTCTTTTAAAAATAATAATAATGATAATAATAGAACTCCGGAGTCACATATCCACATAGAGTCACCAATTTAGTGTTCTGCGATTGTTTTGTCTTGTTCTGAGACTCTTTCCTCCATTCTGAGTTTAAAAATTTCACACTGATCTGTTTATGTTTTCTTCTACTCAGAAAATAATTTGTGCTTTGTTACTAAAGTCATTGATTTTTTTTTAAAGAATACAGCTAACACTAGAAATTGACCATTTATTTATTAAAAACCCACACTTTTACAGTAGAAGTATATAAATGGTAAATTTGGGTTCCTCTTGGTTGCCCACCATGATTTCTCTTCTGCTGTCCATAATCAGTTCTATTTCTGAATTTGTCAGAGGGAGTCTTAGTCTGAAGTTGGCCAGGTAGAATTTTTAAGTTGCTTTCTAAATAGCTTCGGTATGTTTATGGGTGAGCCTCTCTGAGACTTTTTTTCTTTTTTAAATGACAGCTTGGCAGCAATTCTTCGCGAAACATTCTTCAGGTTTTTCATTCTTACTTCTAGAAAATCAAGAATTTCTAGGAAGTTATTTATTTTAAGATATCCCATAATTAAAACAGTATTTCAGCCACTGGCCTCAAGATCTTGCAACTGTTTGTGTCCTGAGCCCTGTCTAGATCTTTGCCTGGGAATATGCCACATGAGATCAAAATGCTTCTTATATTTGAGAACCGTGCCCTCCTTGCTACTAGTGTGTAGGGAGCAGGCTCAGGGTTCCTGCCGAAACGTTGGGTCGGAAAAGGGGAATGCTGTTTATCCAAATTGCCAAAATGATTGACTTGAATCCACGCCCTTCCCTGAGGATGTGCCCGGCTGTTGGAGCTGGCAGTAAAGTTTTTTCCGCTGCAATTTTCATGCTTAGAAGTTGTGGGATATTGTTGGTTTTTTTCTCTAAATTCATCATAATTCAGAGCGACTTGCCACATGCCGTAAGTTTAATACCAAATGGGTTTGACTTGGCTGTAATCGTTTCAACTGGCGTATCTTTACCTTGTTAAATAAAATGTATGGCTTTTTGCTTCACTTGTCAGTCTTATCTGGTCGTGCTCAGGAAAGCGGTGTGGTTTCAAACTTGCAGCTGTTTGGAGTTCTGTTTGCTTTCCTTTTTTTGAATCTGGTGCCCTTTTCCCGATGGTGGGAGGAGTGGAGGTGTAGGATACACTTGGCTGTATCGACTGAGCCTAAATAGAGTAGGAGCTGATAGGAAGGAGCACAGCACCTGTTGATTGCAGCCGGGTTTAGAAATTCTGTTGTGTTGGGGACATAAATACCTGTGTACACACACAGAGGGAAGGATGGACAGACATGCAGAGGAGGAATATTAATGCTGTGGCATTTGCTAGAGTATGTAATACGTGTCACCTCAGATGAGTAAGGAACTGCACCTCAACCAGTGACATATGTTACAATTTGTTTGACTTCTAGAATGTTAAAACATGATTAAATATACTTTTGAAATGGAGACATTTTGGGCTTTTGTTCTGTTTTGTTTTGGTTTGGTTTTTTCCCTAATGTGGCTTTTTTCTGCCTTAGTCTTTGGGGTGTTTTATTTTTCCATGCTTCTGATTATCCATACTTCTGATTTATCCATACTTCTAACTCCAGAATAACTAACTCTGGAGTAAGTAGTCACAGGTTCATGTGTACTCGCAAAATGTCATCTCTGTGTTTGCTGGGAGAAAAAGTAACGTCTGTGCTCTTCTCTTTTTCTGTTTCAGATCATTGGAGCCCTTGTGCTCGCGGTTGGGATTTATGCAGAAGTGGAAAGACAGAAGTACAAAACTCTGGAAAGTGCCTTTCTAGCCCCAGCAATTATTTTGATACTTTTGGGCATTATAATGTTCCTCGTGTCTTTCGTGGGTGTACTGGCTTCTTTGAGAGACAATTTATGCCTTCTTCAAGCAGTAAGTGTTGGGCGTTTTATTCTTAAGTTTTAAGGCTCGCTGCTTTTGCTTTTCAGTGTCACCTGCATTAAAGTCCACAAATATGCCTGCAGTGAAAAATGTCTTAATAAAGCTGTTGTCTTGTTTTTTAATTAAATCTGAAACCGCTTTCTGGCCATGGTCCCCTAACAGTGGTCTGTGGGTGTCTGAGCAACCTGATCTAGTTGAAGATGTCCCTGCTCACTGTAGGAGGGCTGGACTAGATGACATCTAGAAAGGACCCTAATGAGGGAATGAAAGAGACAGAGATGTTCTCTCCAGTACCTCTGCAACGGTAAATTTAGGGAAATTCCAGTATAATGCTGTGGCTGCAGGTGGAAGTTGCGCGCACGGCCAATTAAAGCATGAAAACATAATTTTCGCCTTTGCGTCCGTTCAGTCTAGAGAAATGGTAAATAGTTGGTGTGTTATGTAAGGCAAAGCAAGAAGTAACTGTGACTTTCAGAATGATGCTGGAATTTTACTGGGAGCCTGTCCTTATATGGTGGTGGCCTCTTTCACTCTGACCATGGTGGTGGTGTCCTCGTCTGATGCCGAGGATATTTTCTGTTCCTGTTTTGATAGCAAATCCGGTAGGGTATTGACCTGAAGAAAGTCCCTTGTGTCCACTTCTCAGACTGATTCCAGATTTAGCAGCAGCAAAGAGATCTGTCCAGTAACACTGATACCGGATATTGAGAGCACAGAAATTAAGCCAACTTTTGAAGGAGGAGCATTTGGGATTATTTTCAGATGAGAGACCCTAAAACTTCCCTCCTGATGAAGTTCATTGTTAAGAAGCAGACCAAAATTTGTGTAACAGCCACCTTTTACACCTCAGGTATACTTTGGGCTGGCAAAACATTTCAGGTACTGGCAGGTCGCAGCTATCTCATGGTGTTGGTGTGGATTTCTTCGTATTATTTGTATTTTGCCTGCGTTTTGATGAGTAGTCACAGATGCATATGTTGTGGTCGTGTGTGAGCGAGCATGTATTTATATTATACCTAGATGAATAAATATATTGAGAGCTAGCAGGTGTATTTTTTCTTACCACTGAGCTTGGCAAGTCCTGTTAGTGCCCCTCTTTAGCTCAGCTGGCTGAGTAATGCAGCACAGCTTTTCTGAAGCAACACACTAGAAGGTACCAAGCCCAGAGTTTCACTTAGGTTTAACACTGACATTTTGGTCAAAGGTGGTTTGGATTAGCTTAAAGCACTGCTTTACCCAAGAAATGAAAGGTAACCGGTAAGTACTCTTTTTGTAGGAAGAATGAAAATGCAAAAATTGGGTGTGGCTTGTAGCAGTCCATGAATGTGCTTCTCTGGGATGCTGTTAGAGAGAGAGAGATCGTGACACGCTAAGTGCATCTGGTGGGTTTGAGCCCATTCGAAGCAGAAAAATAATGTATTGCCAACTGGGCAAAACCCAGAAGGACTCAGGTGAGGCGGAAATAAAAAAAGACTTTCTTGTGACATGAACAGAGCAAAGTCATTATTTTATCTCCTTCTAAACAACATCTTATGTGCAGAAAGCCGAGTATGTTGGCAATTGGATATTATGAAACCAAGGATGCTGATTGAAAGAGTGGTTGGGGTTTGTTCTGCTTTAAGGACTCGCGATTGTTTTTCTGCAGTTCATGTACATTCTTGGGATCTGCTTGCTGATCGAGCTGACTGGTGGAGTGGTGGCCCTGATCTTCAGGAACCAGGTGAGCAGCTCATGTTCAGGTGTCGGTCACCAGGATCATTACTCGCAGTCCACGATGTTCCAGCTGTGCTGCTGAGCAGGTAAAGGGTGTTAAAACCACCCCCTGAGCACCAATTGATGGAGGTCTGGTGGCAAAACGAGCTGCCAGCTCTTCATGCTTTTTTTCTGATTTGTGGATCTCGGGCAGCTGCTTTGGGAAGTTTCCAGCTTTTTTTTTTTTTTTAGTGGCCGGAAATGTTTTTACCTTACCCAAAGGACGGCTCTTCCCTGCCCACATCCATAAGCAACATAACCGATTTCTGTAGGAGACTCCGTCATTTACAAGGATGCTATAACTATTTAAAAACCTTAATTTTTTTTCTAAACAGAAAGCAGCAGACTTTTTCTGTTAGAAATGCTTTAAAACATAAATGTGTTCACTATGGCAAGTACTAGATTATTACACTTTGATTTTTTTTTTCTAATCTGGGAGAAAATGACCATTAAAAAGGAGATGCTGAGTAATAAGACCTTTTCCTTCTCCTCCCCAGTCCTACCAATCTCATTTCCAGAAAAAGAAGTCATACATGCATAACATATATGTTATTTTAAAAAGGCTCTAAATATATATATATATTTTTCAATAGCAACACATTGTTATTTTGAAGTAGTGTTATGTTCTCCCTAGCTACTGTTTTCTTCTTACTCCATGCTGGACCAGCATTCTGAACGTGACTTGTGAAAACAGAGGATGAGCTGTCTTAATTTCTTGAAGCTGTTGTTAGCCGTGGCCATCGGTATCAACTCTGTCCCACACAAAGAAGGGGAGGGAGCAGATCGCCCTGCCCGCTGCAGGAGCGTGGGCGTCACGGGATGCTGGGAATTCGGTTGACAGAAAATTAAGCAAATGCCAAAGATGGTATTTGCTGAGAGGGCAAGGAAAAATTGCCATTGACTTTCAGACAAAGAAAATGTATTGTTGGGGTTTTTTTTGGTGCAGTAAGCATTCTCCCAACGTGTGTCGGCTGGCTGAGCAGGACAGCTATGCACAGGGGCAGATTTCTTTGCGTGTTTTACGAGGCTTGACAGGGTTAGAATGTGGAGGAGAAGGAAGTATTTAATAAAAGCTTAGGGTAGTACCTGTTGTTTAAATGCTGGCTGTTTTGCATGTCTTATTTTTTCCCTTTTTTTTCTCTATTTCCTTCTCTCGAGTCTATAAGAGAGGTGACGTAGGTGTGACACAGGTGACAGAGAGAGTTGTTGGTATTTGCTGTTGTTCATTCTTGGCCAGTTGGAGAGTCTGGTAAAATCCCAGGTCTTTTCTAATCACCGGTGCGATAATCGGGTTTGCTCTGTTTTGTTTTTAAGTGCTGAAGTTTGTAACGCTGAGAGAATGAGTAGGTGTATTTTAGGTTTCTTTCTGACCTGCAAGGATTTTGGTTTGGTCATTTTAGCAGCTGGACTGAAAGGAAAATCGTTACATTCTGGTTATGATTATTCCTAACTTTTGCTACACTGTGATTGTGCTGGATGGTGAAAACTATTCTGTTTTTCTTTTTTTTTGCTTATCTTCTGATCTTTAAAAACCTGCCATTGATTTAATTTCTAATATGCCAAGCTGAGGAGATACTGTTTTACATCTGCCACTGCTCCGCTGCCCTGTTTGTAAAGAAAACCACCGCAGAACACACCGATAAGCTTTTTTTTCTGCCTAGGGTGGAATATAGTTCTTTATCTGGTAATTACGGACTCCTTGGAAAAGAAAATGGTAGAAATAAAATTAATGGAAGATAAAATTATTTTATGACAAATAAAATTCATTTGTACTCCTCAGTTACGCTTGTCGCTTCAACCTGCCCTTCTGTTTTTGTTTCGTCATGTACAACCCCTCAGTCTTGTTTTATTTTTGCCTTCCAGACAATCAACTTTTTGAATGATAATATTAGAAGAGGAATTGAGAATTACTACGATGATTTAGATTTCAAGAACATCATGGATTCTGTTCAAAAGCAGGTTTGTCTGATGTTTTTTGTTTGTTTGGGGTTTTTTGGTTTTGTTTTTGTTTTCCCTGGGACCAATTTGGCACCTAGATGCAATACCTGTAATTAAAATTCAGAAATTGGGTAGAGCACAGCTGAGCATTACTTAATGGCACATGTAGTTGACTCACAGCCTTTTTTTTAAAATATATATCTAGGGCTGGTGTGTTGAAATGTTTATTGGGCTATTGAAGAGTTCTGCCATGCAGTTCAAAGGCTATAGAAGAAGCAGAAAATGTTCAGAAATGTTGTGTCAGGGCCCATGTGATGTCAGTGACTGTGCCAAATAATGATTTTTTTTTTAAAAAAAGAAGTTAACTTAGGAAGTGATACGTATATTTTATGACATCGTTATGGAGATGGCAGCCTGCTTTGAAAAACACAGTTAGCATGGAAAGTCTTTCAAAAGCAAACCATCCTGAGGAAATTCTGTCATTAAACTTTATAATGCTTTAAAGTTTCCATGCACTGCCCAGAATTATGTATATGTACAGTGAGTATATATTTGAGTGATTAAATGAATTGCTCATTTTCCCTTCTTTTAAAAAATAAAGTCAATGTAAACCTACAGTATTTGTTTGCTAGGATTCGGTTCTGCTAAATCACGCTCAAATGTTGCGGTGAGATTATTTTTATGCCTTACAGCAACACTTTTGTCTCTTGGACTCATTTAGAAATGTAGTCACAATCCTTAAAAAGGTGAAGAGACATACTGCAGCTTGAGATGGAGTGAATGTAAAAACATTGCTTAATGATGTCCAGGCCTGAAAAGATAATTTTTCAACTCAGAAAAGATGAGAGGTGAAACTTAGCATAGAATATGTTGCTCTGACACTCTGAGTAATAGCTCAATGAGTGTAGGAGGAACACTACCTATATATTGAATTCTTTTTTGTTTTAGCTATCATTTACATTCGTGTATGCCTTGCTGATAAAATGACAGAATTGCTAGGTGGCTCAGTGGTCTTAAAATTGTTTTATTCTTTTACTTTTTAAATGAGTCTCTGTTAAGATATGATTTTTATTTTTTTTTTTGTGTATGTCATTTTTCTCCAGTTTAAGTGCTGCGGTGGGGAAGATTACAGAGATTGGTCACAAAATGCGTACCACAACTGTGCGGCTCCGGGACCGCTGGCCTGTGGCGTGCCCTACACTTGCTGCGTCACAAATAAAGTAAGTCCTGGCAACTCGGTGCTGCTGCTCTCAGCCAGGTCACCGTCCTTCTCTTAAAAAGGTTTTAGAAAGCTGGGGAGAAGAAGCAAAGGAAGATGGGTCCCTCCCAAAAGCAAGTGGCTACGGATCTGTGGGTCTTGACAGCTCGAAAAGGAGAAATAATGAATCTGATGTGTTGGTTCTGGTGTGCCTTGCCATCCTAGAAACACCCAGACCTGCTGTTTAAACACCCAGGGCTGCTTAAAATTAAATTTTACTAGTGTTTTCCTTGGGGTTTGCTACTCCAGCTTTGCCAGGAAGCATGGGCTTCCATGGGTGGAGGTTAAGATCCATGTATATGTGTTTTATTTAAATTTTAGCAGTTTTAATACATCCTCTTTCATTTGAGCAATGCTCAGTTTGATAAAGAACTATTCCTCGACTTAAAACCGATATGGGCAATCCTCACCTCACGCTGGGTTTTGGTCTCTTCAGTTGGAACAGGAGATGGAGAAATTGAGTGTGTGTAAGAGCAGATGCAGCAGAGCTCATGATGGATAGCCTACCAGTGCCTGTTGTGTGCTGCCCCTGGGCATGGCTGTTTAATTAAAAAAAAGGGAAAATAAATACAGTAATTGTGTCAATAATCCTGCTAGGTGTTGCTGAGAAATGTGTATAATGTGAAGATGCTTATTTTACGTGCTTACACATTTTTTGTGTATGAGAAAGAGTCTGTTTAAATCTCTGTGGAGCGTTATTCTCAGAAACCAAAGGTAAACAGTTATTATTTAAGTCTTGGGTGTTTGAGAGTAAGAAAGTTGTGTATATGAAAAGAGTATTTGCTGATCCACAGCTGCACTGAGCAGAAGAGATCGGGATTTTGTCCTCAGTTGGTGGTAAAGGAAGACAGAGCTGGCTGGGAAAGAGCAATCTGGCTTTTCAGCGGCCGTTCACAATGCTCCCTGTTTTTCTGTGGCCCTCATTTCTCTGTCAAAGTCTTACTTTAAAAGCTTAGATGGTGTGTGTAGAAATTCCCCCTCCCTGGAAGTGTCCCAGGCCAGGCTGGATGAGGCTTTGAGCAACCTGGTCTGGTGGGAGGTGTCGCCGCCCATGGCAAGGGGTTGGAACTAAAGATCCCTTCCAACCCAACCGTTCCATTCTGTGGTGGGGATGAGACCACTTGGAGCCTGAAGGTAGCCTGCAAAGTGCTAAGCTCAGGGGAGTTAATCAAAAGGTGGGAAGAACCACCAAAATAACAAACAAACTTCTTCTTTAAGGGTAGGCCATTCAGCAAGATGCTGTGGAACATTAGGGCTAGTGACTTTGCCGAGCGGAGATGCCGGCGATGTGCCTGGTGAAGTCTGTGAACATGTCATTGGCTGACTGCCTCGGGGTGAAAAAAACCACAAACCCAACAAAAAAAACCTCATCCAACCAGAAGACGCATAAATCTTATTTGTTTGACAAATACTTCCAAATACAGGCTGGTTTCTGTCCTGGAAAACTGCAGATACGGTTTGTGATTACTCATTGGCTTTGTAGTCATGGAAAACTCTCGCTGATGTCAGGGCTTGGATTCTGTTCTTCTGAAAAAGCCCTGGGCTCCTCCCGGGGGGGTGTTCCAAAGGGGTTGTTTTTAAGCCAAAATATTTATTAAAGACTTACACTAGGGTCGCAGATAAAAATCAGTCCCCACATACCTGTAAGCCTGCTTCCAATGCACTTATCTCCGTTGCGTGCATTTTTTTTGCGTGCCGTGATGTCCTGCTAGCGAATGCCGTGCTTAAAACCAAATGATGTGACTGCGTGTTCCCTCTGGTCACTTATTTCGGGGAGTGCCCATGCCTTTCAGGTGTGGATTGGGCTCGAGTGTTTTTAAGCGTGCAGTCACTCACAGCAGACACAGCAATGCCTTTGCCGGGCTGGGTAGAGTCTTGGGACCCTCAAGAAATATTAAATGGCTACGGAAGATGCATTAGTAACATGCGATGAGTTCAAGCACTCTATCTTTTTTAAAAAATATATTAATTTAATATTCA